AGACTCCCCAAGTGTGTGTGCGCGCGCACAGACACATATGTGCACACACATGGGTGCAGATCCATGGACACGCACGTCTAGATATTCACATAAACTTCAGACAACAGACACGCCCATTGAGAACCTCCTGCCTGGCATCCTCCCGGCCGATTCCCTCGGATTGCCCTGCCACGGGGGCGTGGCAGTCCGTGGTGGAGGGGGCAGCGGGAGGCGATGGCGACCTTGAGGGCATCCCTGACTCTGCCTCAACCTCCTCCCGGGAAACAGGGGCTCTTAGAGCAAAGCCCCCCCCCACCGCAGCCTCAGGCCCCGCCCAGGAAACACTATGGCCACAGCTGCCCGGCCAGCTGCCCTTGTCCCTGGCAGGAGGCCCAGAGGGAAGCCCACCATGGGAGAGTCGGGGGGCCGGCACAAGGCCCCCACCTCGCAGAGAGCGTTCCCACCTGGGCCTGGCTTCTCTCTGCTCAGAACGTTCCCGAGGGCTCGGCCGCTGCCAGCCAGGCACCCTGAGGGGCGGGTGGGGAGACTGCCCAGGGAGGTGCTGCCCGGAGGGGAGGTGGCCAAGTGCGGTGCCTGCCCCCGGAGCCCAGGTCAGCAGGCTCAGCTGGAGCAGCTGGAGCAGCTGGTTTCTAGGAGGTGAGAGCTGCCACCCGCCCCTGTTCGCAGAGGAGGAACCGAGGCTTGGAGTGCTTCCAACTCGCCCCTGTGGGGGGTCGGGCGGGGCTTCCAGGTCACGACCTGGAACTCTGCTGGATGAGGGGCTGTAAAGGCCTTATCAGGAGAGCAATCTGCTGATGCAGCCGGAGAACCTCGGAGCTCTAACTGCCGGGGCGAGGACGCGGCCCCACCCTCGGGGCACCTCCGCCAGGGCCCCCCGAATCACCCACGAGGCCCCCGGAGTGGGGAGCCAGCATCCCGGGCAGGACACTCAGAAAGGTGTCCGGGGCTCTCCAAGTCCCACAGCGAACCGCAGACTCCCTACCCCGGCTCCTGCCTGGACTCACTCTCTTTCATGGTCGCCCAGCTCGGGCCAGACCGGAGCCGGCGTGGGGCGGGTCAGGTCCGCGCCAGGAGTGTCAGTGCCACCCTCCCGTGGCGTAGCTGAGGACCCCGGGTCTTCGGCCAGTGAAGGGTGGGGTCCCCTCTCCCCCCTCCCTCCCCCAGGCAGGAAGTCGCTGGTCCTCCCAGCCATGGGGGGAGGCCATCACTTACCAGCTGAGGACACCCAGCCGCCTGAGGCTGCCTGGTGAGCAGGTGGCCTGGCTGCATATGGTGCCCTGTACCCCTCACTGGCCCAGGGCAGGGCTCATACGCTGGTGGGGGAGGCAGTCAGGGCCGGGGAGGAGGCGGCAGGGGACGGGCGGGACAAGACCCCAGGGGCAGGAGGGTGGAGAGCTGGCTGCGGCTCCAGTCTGGCTCCTGCCCCTGCACCACCTGCTCTGCCAGCACAGGCCCAGGGCTTACTCGCAGCAGTCACGTGACCCTGGGCAGCCTCTCTGAGCCTCAGTT